GGTCCCGCCTCTCAACTGGTGTATAGGTTCCTGCTGAGCCTATTGGACTCTATCATATCTACATTTGAAACTTTGTATGGAGTCAGCCCTGTGTGTGTGTGTGTGTGTGTGTGTGTGTGTGTGTGTGTGTGTGTGTGTGTGTGTGTGTGTGTGTGTGTGTGTGTGTGTGTGTGGTAAGTTGCAATGGGCGTATTGCAACTTAATAATCAGGTAGGGTTATTAGTGAGGTGCTTCACCTTCACCTTATCCTGGGCTACATATCCTGCAGGACAACAACTTCTAACCTTACGGGCTATTCACGCCCGTGCCACCTCTTGGGTGGCCTAATCTTCACGAATCAAACTTGAAACGATTAGAACTCTGCCTCTGATAATGGGTTAATTAATGAAACGCATTTCACAGCGTCAGGCCAAATAAAATTGGAAAATGAACTTTGGAGACTTAGTTTTTCGACGTCCTAAATCTTGAGGTTATCTTGAGATGATTTCGGGGCTTTGCGTCCCCCGCGGCCCGGTCTCCTCGACCAGGTTCTTCTCAAATGAAGAAAAACATCAGAAAAATAGAGAACATTCGGGCTTGAATCACGGATTTTAACCTTTGTCACATTCAATAATAATATATATATATATATATATATATATATATATATATATATATATATATATATATATATATATATATATATATATATATATATATATAAGGAGAGAGACTGATCACTTACATATGTGACAAAGTGACTGTATATGTATATATGTGCACACGCCACATTTCCAAGCGCCAGCGCGCATACGCCCAATTTTTCCTTACTCGTCCGTTCCAATTTTTGCTCCGTACGCACAACAAGGACATCTTCAGCGCTAACACTCAAACAAATTACGCAACATATCAAACAAACAATTAAAAACAAACGTCAACAAATAAAAATATCCTCGACATGACAAACAAAATTGTTCAATTAAAAAAAATTCGTCCGTCCTGCGAAAAAAGTGAATAATGTTTGGTCCCCCTCTTCCTATACATCAAATTTATTTATTTATTTATACATCCTCGCATTTATTGTTTTCTGTGCTAGAAATGGGAGAGGGGATATAATCAGCTGGGGAGGGGGTATAATCAGCTGGGTAGGGAGTACAATCAGCTGGGGAGGGGTACAATCAGCTGGGGAGGGGATACAATCAGCTGGGGAGGGGATACAATCAGCTGGGGAGGGGATACAATCAGCTGGGGAGGGGGTACAATCAGCTGGGGAGGGGGTACAATCAGCTGGGGAGGGGGTACAATCAGCTAGAGAGGGGATACAATCAGGTGGGGAGGGGTACAATCAGCTAGAGAGGGGGATACAATCAGCTGGGGAGGGGGTACAATCAGCTGGGGAGGGGGTACAATCAGCTAGAGAGGGGATACAATCAGCTGGGGAGGGGGTACAATCAGCTGGGGAGAGGGGTACAATCAGCTAGAGAGGGGATACAATCAGCTGGGGAGGGGGTACAATCAGCTGGGGAGGGGGTACAATCAGCTAGAGAGGGGATACAATCAGCTGGGGAGGGGTACAATCAGCTGGGGAGGGGTACAATCAGCTAGAGAGGGGATACAATCAGCTGGGGAGGGGTACAATCAGCTAGAGAGGGGATACAATCAGCTGGGGAGGGGTACAATCAGCTGAGGAGGGGATACAATCAGCTGGGGAGGGGTACAATCAGCTGAGGAGGGGATACAATCAGCTGGGGAGGGGTACAATCAGCTAGAGAGGGGATACAATCAGCTGGGGAGGGGTACAATCAGCTGAGGAGGGGATACAATCAGCTGGGGAGGGGTACAATCAGCTGAGGAGGGGATACAATCAGCTGGGGAGGGGTACAATCAGCTAGAGAGGGGATACAATCAGCTGGGGAGGGGTACAATCAGCTAGAGAGGGGATACAATCAGCTGGGGAGGGGTACAATCAGCTAGAGAGGGGATACAATCAGCTGGGGAGGGGTACAATCAGCTAGAGAGGGGATACAATCAGCTGGGGAGGGGGTACAATCAGCTAGAGAGGGGATACAATCAGCTGGGGAGGGGGTACAATCAGCTAGAGAGGGGATACAATCAGCTGGTGGTGTGGAGGAAATCATAGTGGCTGCAGTTCGGGGCCTCCAGAACCTCTCAGTGAATTCAGTAGAGTTCCGGGTTGGTCAACCTTTGTACCATCGTGGCTGAGTGGGTTAAGGCAGGTGTCTGGGAGTCACCAGACCGCGGGGTTCGAATCATTGCCTCAAAATGATTGTTAATTGATACATCACGCTATTGTGATTTTTGTGTGCTCTATATATGGTGCGGTGAGCTGTATGACGTCACTGTGACGCCATAATGTACATTCTACATCATATAACTCTCTACTGGCCAGAAGTAGAAGTAGATGACCGGTTTCAAAGGTTCATATATACGTCCAGGAACGTGTAAGTAACCTTCCCCCCCCCCCCCACAAGAAGAAAACAAATTGGTGGACTGATTCAAACGGAATTGCTACTTGCCGGTTGCAAGTAGCAATAGTGTCAAGTACCGATCATGGGGAAGCAGTGAGAGACAGGAACGCGAGGAGAGTGATCCCCGGAACCACTTCATGGTATATCCCATGTGTGCGGTGTAGGGTGTAGGGGTGTGTGTGTTGGGTGTAAGGTGTAGAACCCTAAACCCTTACACGTCATCAAAAGAAACTCAGTCGGTGATCAAGTGATAGACTGAATTGCAATATGATATATATTAATTTTAGAGAGATTGAAAGAAGATAGTCAAATCCATTATTCAATCTCTCCCCAAGGAACAGCATCAACATTAACAACAGCACCAGCCAGTGCAGCAGCAACAACAGCGGCAGCTTGGACCATCGGGGATCGAGTACAGACCTGCCTTCACGAGAAGAAACCTGGAAGAGATTCCCACAACTTATCCCTTCAAAACAAAAAAAAATCATGTGCAGGAGGCGGGGAAAGTTTCCATTTCTTGCAACGTTGGCACAGGTTTGAAGTAATTATAATTTGTATGTCACAAATGCTGCAAATTACCATGTCTAGACACATCTCTATGTCTTCATTTCCAAGTAAATGGGAGTTGGGAGAGGGGGGGCCTGAAGAACCAGCCCACGGAGAATGATAAATTGCTTTTGCTGGCGCGGGAAGTGAATGCCGGCAGGAGCAAAGTTTGGGGGTCTGAAAGAGATGGACAGCCTCAGAGTAATGTTAGTTTGAATAGGGATGAGCCCAACTTGGGGAAGAATTCTCATACTTGGGAGTTTATGTTTAACAAGACTGGCAAATGTGGGAGCACAAGTTGTGTGGAGAGAGAGGGAGAGCAATACATGGAGCAGCGCTTGGCTGCAGTCCCCAGACTCACTCAATGGCCAGAGGTGAAGGCTCCCCCGAGCAAGAAGTGCACATGATCGAGTGTTTCTGCCCTTACAGAACGCTGGCCACTCTGTTGGGGGAGGAGGGGTGTGTGTTGAGGGTGTGTTGAGCTGTTGGGGGAGGGGGGTGTTGAGGGTGTGTTGGGGGGTGTTGAGCTGTTGGGGGAGGGGGGGGGTGTTGAGGGTGTGTTGGGGGGTGTTGAGCTGTTGGGGGAGGGGGGGTGTTGAGGGTGTGTTGGGGGGTGTTGAGCTGTTGGGGGAGGGGGGGGTGTTGAGGGTGTGTTGGGGGGTGTTGAGCTGTTGGGGGAGGGGGGATTGTTGAGGTGTTTGGGTGTGTGTGTTGAGCTGCTGTGGCATATGATGAAATGTTGGGATGTATGTGGTGACCTTACAGTTGATGGAATTTAATGCCAGCGACCATTTGTTTGACCATTCCTGGAGTTAGGTTAGGTTTTAGGTCCTTCTGTAACTTCTTCCAGTCCTCTGTTTTTTACATTCTTCATCAAGTTTGTTTCATTTTCAAACATTGACATGCTCCAGCACACTCCCTCGGGCAGGTCACTCACAGAAATTATGAACAGCAGTGGTCCTAGGACGGAGCCTTGTGGGCCCCTCACATGTCCAGCTTAAAATCTCCTCTCTGACTATGACTCTTTTTCCTTCCTGTTCTCCAGGTTCCCTGTTCACCACCCTTACTCAGTTCAGTGTTTTCCCAGTTATCTCAGCCTGCATCTTGTACACCAGTCTTTCGGGAGGAACAGTGTCAAATGCTTTTTGACAATCTAGGAAAAATGCAGTCTACCCAACCTTGTTTTTCTCGTCTTATTTTAGTAAACCTGTCATAGGACTCAATCAAGTTTGTCAGGCACGACTTTCCCTTTCTACTGACCTTTTTCTCACATAGTTGGATGCTGCACTATTCTTGACCTTATTACTCTCTCCAGCACCTTACACGAAGTACTTGTTAATGACACTAGTCTGTAATTTAATACCTCCTGTCTATCCCCCTTTTTTGAATACTGTGACAATATTTGCCTTTTTCCACATTTAAGGAAGATTTCTTGTCTCAAGCATTTCGTTAGTAACTTTAGATAATGGGGGTGACAAGGTACTTCTGCAACCTCCTTTAGCAGCCATGGTGAGATTCACCATGGATTCACCATGGATTCACCATGGAGATTCACCATGGTCACTAACTTTGTCACATCACGTTCTGCCAGGGGCTTTCTTACCTCTTCTACAGTAACTACGGTGTCATCCATTGTTTCTTCTGGTCTTTTGTCTCACAGTCTAGGTCTCCACTCAAGTCTACATGTAAAGACCTTCCAAAATGTCTTGTGAATTCTTCACATACCTCAGTATTATGTGTGATAACATGATGAAGTGTGTGTAATGACATGTTGTAAGAGCACCTAAGAGTCTGGTTCACCAGACGGCCAACCGGAAGGCCTGGTCGGTGACCGGGCCACGGGGATCTTGATCCCTGGAAGCTACACAAAGTAGGTAGGTAGATAGACCTTCCCCAGCACTGAGGAAGCCTGGCTCTGGCTTCCTCGGTGTTCAGACGCTTGTCCCTTCATGTGACTCAACCACTGACCGAAACTCGAAACCGAGAATGTATGTAAACGCCGCAGCCTCCAGCGTACCGCGAGTACCGCAGCCTCCAGGGTACCGCGAGCACCGCAGCCACCAGGGTACCGCGAGCACCGCAGCCTCCAGGGTACCGCGAGCACCGCAGCCTCCAGCGTACCGCGAGCACCGCAGCCTCCAGGGTACCGCGAGCACCGCAGCCACCAGGGTACCGCGAGCACCGCAGCCTCCAGGGTACCGCGACCACCGCAGCCTCCAGGGTACCGCGACCACCGCAGCCTCCAGGGTACCGCGACCACCGCAGCCTCCAGGGTACTGCGAGCACCGCAGCCTCCAGGGTACCGCGAGCACCGCAGCCTCCAGGGTACCGCGAGCACCGCAGCCTCCAGGGTACCGCGAGCACCGCAGCCTCCAGGGTACCGCGAGCACCGCAGCCTCCAGGGTACCGCGAGCACCGCAGCCTCCAGGGTACCGCGAGCACCGCAGCCTCCAGGGTACCGCGAGCACCGCAGCCTCCAGCGTACCGCGAGCACCGCAGCCTCCAGCGTACCACGAGTACCGCAGCCTCCAGGGTACCGCGAGCACCGCAGCCTCCAGCGTACCGCGAGCACCGCAGCCTCCAGCGTACCGCGAGCACCGCAGCCTCCAGGGTACCGCGAGCACCGCAGCCTCCAGCATACCGCGAGTACCGCAGCCTCCAGCGTACCGCGAGCACCGCAGCCTCCAGCGTACCGCGAGCACCGCAGCCTCCAGCGTACCGCGAGCACCGCAGCCTCCAGCGTACCGCGAGCACCGCAGCCTCCAGGGTACCGCGAGTACCGCAGCCTGCGCCAACAGACACCACCACCACTACTCCATCTTTGTTATCACAATTAGATGCATGTATTTTCCCCACACGGAAAACACTCCCCATATTTCGAGCCCCGTTCCCACCATACCACAATGTCTTATATTAATCTGGGAATGTTTTGTGCTCGCTCCTCCGCACATAAACCCGGCCTTAAATTCCCAGTATGGACGGCCGCTGGCTCCTACTGCTGCAGTTTTGCCTTGTAAACTCTTGTCTATCTGAGCGGGAGAGTGTGTCGCCGTCCGCCGTACTCACTGCTACTGCTGCTGCTGCTGCTGCTGCTGCTGCTGCTCGTGTCTGTGTTAGGACGACACTCTCACCAACTGTTGCGTCTCCAGCTTCTGCCACGCCTCCTTATATCTAGATAATATGGATATTTTCACAAGGGAGAATATTTAAAATATTATTTCTCGGTCTCCCAGGGTACTGTGCATGCTCCAATATCTTTCTCCAATGTGTGTGTGTGTGTGTGTGTGTGTGTGTGTGTGTGTGTGTGTGTGTGTGTGTGTGTGTGTGTGTGTGTGTGTGTGTGTGCCTCCATGGAAGGTATCCCCCGCCCCTGGAAGAGGTATAGTGTTCCAGTGGGGAGTAGAGGGAGGGACAACCATTATACATGGCAACATCGCACTATCCTTGCTGAAGCTGCCACCACACTCCCGGGAGAACCCCTCCAGCAGGCAGCGTCTGAGAGAGACCCTCCAGTGTCTCAATCCTGGAGGTGATGCGGGCTGCCACTCTATATATTGACCATGATGCATTGCAACAGTGAGTCCCACTTGCAATATACCAGGGCAGCCACCACCTCCTCCCCCCCCCCCCTTCGAAAGGTGAGGCTGCAACAATCTAGCACCGTTGGTAGCACCCTTAATATCACCCTTAATAGCAGGCACACGAACGGGGATGCTTATGGATCAATGACTTACAAATCTCTGGTAACATCCTTTGGAGACTACAGAATGACCTTTAAATGCTATTCAGAATATTTTACTGGAATCTCTCTATTGACAGCAGGTTCAGTTCCAGAGCTGTATCTTTACAAATTGTATCTTTAATTGTATCTTTAAAACAAATTCTATAAACTTTACTACGGCAATTTTCGGTAGGTGGAGACAGAATATGATGATCAGAATTACTGACAATATCAACCTTTGTAATAATTGTCACACCTTGCTCAAATGGCTATTAACGCTTTCAATAATAGCTCAAGATAGGCCAACAAATCAAGGAGTTTTACTACAAGTAAAAGTAGCTACATGTGGGACTTTATTGTTTAGTGGGAATTATTTTTGTAAAGCTACTCTGCTTACCTGGAAATATACATACATATGTATCAAGCGTTTACAAGACGTACTTTTCTGCTTTGAAATTTAAAAAAAATTTGAATTATATATATATATATATATATATATATATATATATATATATATATATATATATATATATATATATATATATGTATGAGAGAATCACAGGACAAAAACAGGTAAATAAAGCCGAGCCTAAGGGGACAGACAGGTGACTTGAGGGACAAACACGGGAAGGTAAAGAGATCCCTTACCTCAACGGAGGGGCAGGGGAGGGATGGGGGTGTGAGAGGAAGAGAGAGGGGGGAAAGGGTTGAGGGGAGAGGGAACAAGGGAGATAGGAAAGGGGGGGGGGAAAGAGGGAAGGGAAGGGCTCAAGGGCTGTGTTTTCTTTGTCAATAGAATCATGAAGTCTCCAAGCTGCTTGACGCTGGGGAGAATCACAGAGATGATCTTAAAAACAACGTTCTTAAAGAAGGATTAAAAAGTGATTTTTAACACCTAAAGATACTTTTTTTTGTCAACCTGTTTTGCCCATTTCAGTCATTTATACAAAAATTACAGCGGATATACTCTCATTACAGCAATGTTTTGTTAAAAAAGTCTGTCTTGTCACACAATCATATTAATTCTTGCTTCACAATTATAATTCATTATAAAGCGGTATATTACGAAAATAAAACTGTTTTAGTGTTTTCTTTGGTCTTCCGCTGACTTATTAGCATATACACACTGTATACAGAACTGCTAGAATGTTTTACTGTATACAACAGTGTCAGGACAAGGTAATTTAGGGCATACAACAGTGTCAGGACAAGGTAATTTAGGGCATACAACTGTGTCAGAACAAGGTAATTTAGGGCATACAACTGTGTCAGGACAAGGTAATTTAGGGCATACAACAGTGTCAGAACAAGGTAATTTAGGGCATACAACAGTGTCAGGACAAGGTAATTTAGGGCATACAACAGTGTCAGAACAAGGTAATTTAGGGCATACAACAGTGTCAGGACAAGGTAATTTAGGGCATACAACAGTGTCAGAACAAGGTAATTTAGGGCATACAACAGTGTCAGGACCAGACAATGAACTATCACACAGTTGCAGACAAGTACCGAGTTAATAGTGAACTATATCTGGAGATAACGAGGAGACAAGGGGAGCCGTCCGCAGCCTTGTATGTGGCTTCATGTAGCGGGCCACCTCACAACCCAGATATAATGAAATAATCAATGATGGAGTCAAAGTTTGTATCCTGTGGCTTCCTTCCCATATTGGTCTCCGAATGCATGATAGGCAAAACTTTTGTTCATAAGGAATTGTTTACCATCTTGGACTGCCTTTGAGCAGCCTGAGGGCAGTTATATTCCGGGAACATCAACAAAATCACGTAGACTTGAGGCAAAGTGAAATTCACACCAGTTGTTCCATCTATCATCATTCTATTATGCAGGAAGAACCGCACGTCTATGGGTCATCCAGTAAGGTTAGCAGACTTCTAGATGTCACCACTGCTAGACTTAGGCTCGGCTACAAATATCTCTGGGAGTTTGTAACACCTGCTGATGTAGACTTGACCAAATGTAAACTCTGTCAGCAGAACTTTACTTTACGTCATTATATAATGAATGTGAAAAAAATCGCGGAATTCAGAGATAACACCATCAATGGAGTCCAAGAAATGTGCAAGTACTTCATTTATAATGATGTACTGCCCGGGAATCTTTGCGAAATATCGCAGATTTGTTTACTGTAGGTAATGCATATATATCTTGAGGTTATCTTGAGATGATTTCGGGGCTTTTTTTAGTGTCCCCGCGGCCCGGTCCTCGACCAGGCCTCCACCCCCAGGAAGCAGCCCGTGACAGCTGACTAACTCCTAGGTACCTATTTACTGCTAGGTAACAGGGGCATTCAGGGTGAAAGAAACTTTGCCCATTTGTTTCTGCCTCGTGCGGGAATCGAACCCGCGCCCCAGAATTACGAGTCCTGCGCGCTATCCACCAGGCTACGAGGCCCCTCCCATGACTAAAGCTGCCGCCCAGTTGGGTGGGTGTAGAGTAAGACTTCACACCCACCCAACTGTAGAGTAAGACTCCACACCCACCCAAACTGCGTGACTCACCATAGATGTAAACTGCCTTATATAGTGACTGCTGTGAGCCTCTTTTTGAATCACTTTAGATATAAAAAGATTATCGACATGTATATGTATTTGTGTAAATGTTTGTTTATATATATATATATATATATATATATATATATATATATATATATATATATATATATATATATATATATATATATATATATATATATATATATACATATATATATATATACATATATATATATACATATATATATATATATATATATATATATATATATATATATATATATATATATATATATATATATATATATATATATATATATATATATATATATATATATATATATATATATATATATATATATATATATATATATATATATATATATATATATATATACATATATATATATATATACATATATATATATATATATATATATATATATACATATATATATATACATATATATATATATATATATATATATATATATATATATACATATACATATATATATATACATATATATATATATACATATATATATATATATACATATATATACATATATATACATATATATATATATATATACATATATATACATATATATACATATATATACATATATATACATATATATACATATATATATATATATATATATATATATATATATATATATATATATATATATATATATATATATATATGTACATGGGTATGTAATGTTAACAATTGTGTAACCAGCTTTAAAAGATTGTCACTTGCTTAGCTAAACGAACAATGGGGTTCAGTTCATGAACCCATTATGTGCCTCTGTAACCCTTTCCACCACCGCCCACGAGATGGGTATGAGGTGCATAATAAAGAAAGGAAATTGAAAAATGGCTCACAGGTGTGAGCCCGTCCACCTAAGGTTTCCCACCGTCAATTTAAAGTGACCTCTCCTAACCTACCAGAGGACCCAAACAGAAAACGGGACAGTACATCACTTTCGCCAGCCGCTTCCATTTTCCAGTACGACAATTTTTGTGGCTTTATGTAACGCATACGCGCGAAAAGCGACGTTCTTTGAAGGAGGACAGGTCAATGAGGCCCCCCTCTGAACAATATCATCCTCAGATGAGAAGACCCAACCCTACGGAGCATAGGATCCTATGAGGAGTCCAACCCAACCCAACATAGGACCCTATGAGGAGTCCAACCCAACATAGGACCCTATGAGGAGTCCAACCCAACATAGGACCCTATGAGGAGTCCAACCCAACATAGGACCCTATGAGGAGTCCAACCCAACATAGGACCCTATGAGGAGTCCAACCCAACATAGGACCCTATGAGGAGTCCAACCCAACATAGGACCCTATGAGGAGTCCAACCCAACATAGGACCCTATGAGGAGTCCAACCCAACATAGGACCCTATGAGGAGTCCAACCCAACATAGGACCCTATGAGGAGTCCAACCCAACATAGGACCCTATGAGGAGTCCAACCCAACATAGGACCCTATGAGGAGTCCAACCCAACATAGGACCC